TGTCCGGCTCTAAAGCCCGAGCCAGACCCCCCCCTGCACCTGAACTGCCAACTGATATCTCGCGCAACGTCGCCATGCTGAAAATATAACAATCCCTGACCAAATACATACTACTGCTGAGGGATCTCTCACATACTCTACTAGTTCCTTGGTTTCGCCTCGGCCCCTCTTGAATCGAGTACGGATCCTCTGCTTTCAGTAGTATGGGCCCCTACTACCTTCCACATCTATCCGTACTTTCCTCAAGAGTTACCTCAACTCCACCAAGTCCCCTTTACTCCTCTACTGATCTCTGCTACTCTCATCCTAGGCTTGCCCTAGGGAACCTCTGACTCTACTCAAACAGTCCTCAGCTGCTGAAGGCCTCCTTGTAATGTCAATTAGCCACCACCTGAATACCATCACATGTGATGAGGCTCGGATAATCCTTCGAGTAAAAGTCTCGTCCCTAAAACGGTTGGACTCAAACAAGAGCTGCGCAGTAGGGCCAAATCCAGCACTCTGAGATTATTCAACCCTGATCACATGTAATGTGACGTATTCACCTAATGGCTAACTCTCATCACTCAGAGTTCTACAAAGCACGAAGCAAGCAACATTCGGATAAGGGAAACATACTCAGGCAAAACTATTCTCATAACAAGAAACTGCACTAGCATACAATGCTAAGCTCATACTATCAGGCATAACCTACCCAGGCTATCCTACTACTGTCTACTCATTACTAGCATGAAGTTCTTATCAAGCTGAAACACATAAAGCAGACACATAAGGCATCATCCTAGATCCTTAGTCCTACTCTAGCATGCTGTTCTACTGAAGCTGAAACTGAAACTGAACTGAACTGATACTGATAGTCATAACATAACTTGTATGGGTAAATTGGGAGTACTTACTTGAGCTCGGCTGATCGCATGCACACACCTCTATCTCGTTAAAAATTTCTTTCTTTCTAGGTGCTTTCAAAATTCTTTTTAGAAGACGTTTTCATTTTTAAATAATAAAAATCTTTTATTTCCCCTTAGTTTGAGTTCAGATACACCCGGAAGTGTATCCGAATCCCTCAAACCAGGGCTCTGATACCAACTTGTAACATCCCAAAAAACACAGTCTGAAAATTTCGTTTAATTTAATGATAAAACCATAGTCAATAAACCTCATATAGAAATCATAAGCAATGTATCTCAGAATATTATAACAACTGTCAAATATATCAGAGTAAAAACATCCCAGGCTGAACAAATGGTGTGTGCACTGCAATCTTCCCGAGCTCCTCTTTTGAAAACTGAATACCTGAAACCAAAACTGAAACTGTAAGCACGAAGCTTAGTGAGCTCCCCCAAACTACCACATACCATACAATAACATATAAACACATATTGGGCCTTGCCCACTGCATCGGGACGAAGCCCGGAAACTGCATCGGACCGGAGTCCGGAACTGACTGGGACCTTGTCCCCTGCATCGGCCAAAGTCCGGAACTAACTGCATCGGACCGAAGTCCGGAACTGACTGGGATCCTGTCCCCTGCATCGGACCAAGTCCGGAACTAACTGCATCGGACCGAAGTCCGGAACTGACTGGGACCCTGTCCCCTGCATCGGACCAAGTCCGGAACTAACTGCATCGGACCGAAGTCCGGAACTAACTGCATCGGACCGAAGTCCGGAACTGACTGAATCATAGCATAGCATAACATATCAACTAGCATGAACACATATACTGCATACTACATCGGGCCGTAGCCCGGAACACATAACACATAACCCATAGCACATAAATTTTGTCTGAGCCACGAAGGCATCAAACATACTAACTACTGCATCGGACCGAGGTCCGGAAACTACTGCTAACTGAACGGGCCGGCATTGTGGCCTTAGACCCGTCCCTACTGGAAGGAAACTCACCTGATGCTGCTGAACTGCTGCTGCTAATCCTTGACTGCTACCTGACTTCTGACTTCGACTGCTACTCCACTAGCTCCTCAAGCTACCAATATCAATATGACACTTAGTCCAACTGACCTCCAAAGGTTACTAGGTCAAATCTGGTCAAGGTCAAAATCCTGGTCAAAGTCAACCTTCCGGGTCAACCCTACTCGCCGAGTCTATCTACTGACTCGCCGGGTTCATATGCCCTGAGTCTTTCTTGTTCGCGACTCGACTTGCCGAGTCAATCCATGACTCGCCGAGTCCAACTAGGTCCAAGTCCTGTCCTGTCCAACTCGCTGAGTCACCACCCGACTCACTGATTCGGGTCTCGACTCGAAGGGTTTAGGGTTTCGCGATCTGACTCGGTGAGTCCAAGAACAGACTCGCTGAGTCCTAGACAATCTTCAACCAACTCATCGAGTTGTTCATCCAACTCGCCGAGGCCATGCCTATCTTCATCCGACTCGACGAGTTGTTCATCCTACTCGCCGAGTTCCTCCTTACCTTCAAGCTACTCGCCGAGTCCACTCGAAGGACTCGCTGAGTCTATCCATTCCTCAATCCATGCAGTGGCTTTTCGAGCCAAACTGAACTTCCAACTCCTAGATCCATACTTCTAGGGCCTATTCCCCACGTAAAGTGGCAAACTTTACGTGTAGATTGAGAGATCTAAGCTCAAAACACACTAAATTCGGGTTTATGGAAACATGCTTCTTCAACATATCAAAGGATGATACTTTAGGGGATTCTAGACCAAAACCAACATGGATCTGAGGTAGCAACCTCAGATCTGAACCTCCAACTCGAATTGGTTACATATCATACCAACAATGGCCAAAACCCACACATAAGAGTAGATCTAGATGAAAAAGAGAGTCCAAGCAACAACTTATTACCTCCACTTGGTCTGAAATGACTCCACAATCCAGATCTACAATCCCTTCTTGCACCTCCAAGGTCTTTCTTCCTCCTCCAAGCGTAATGCATTCTACAAGGCAAGATCTAGCTCCAAAAACGGAAATGGCGGCTAGGGTTTGATGTTCTGGGGTAGAGAGGCAATAAATGAAGCCTAGGAAGGAGAATGAGACACTTAAATAGGCTCCAAGTTCCCGGGTTTAGGGTTTTCCCCGTTCAGACCCAACTCGCCGAGTCTCCCTGGCCGACTCGCCGAGTCGGTCGCTTTCACCACAACCCGGATCCCGCTCGGACTCGCCGAGTCCCTCCATGGACTCGCCGAGTCTCCCCTAAACTTGAGGTTTTCTTTCTTTTCTTGGCTTTCCAAACTTTGGGGTGTTACAGTAGAAGCTTAAGACTATGATCTATAGGAGTGCTAACAGGAGAACAATTCTCAAAGTTAAACTTTTTCAATATCTTCTCAATATAATAATATTGAGAAATTGAAATCCCATTGTTTCCTTTTCTAATTCTTATACCAAGAATTACCTCAGCCTCCCCCATGTCTTTCATATCAAAACTAGATAATAAGAATTTCTTGGCTTTATCAAATTCTTCTAAATCGGTACCAAAAATCAACATATCATCTACATATAAGCAAATCATGACTCCTTTACCAGAAGTATCAAATTTGCTATATACACACTTGTCAGCTTGGTTTAATGCAAAACCATTAGACAAGACAACATCATCAAACTTTTGATGCCATTGTTTTGGTTATTGTTTCAAACCATATAATGATTTCTTCAACTTACACACTTTGTGTTCATTTACATGCATCACAAACCCTTCAGGGTGTTTCATGTATATTTCCTCATCCAAGTCACCATTCAAGAATGAAGTTTTCACATCCATTCACTACAAGAAAAAGAGGTATTAGAGACTGACATATTTAGTCTTTAATGGTTAATAATCAGTCTCTAATGAGTATCGAGGACTGATTTCGCTAGTCCTAAGCTAGTCCCATAAACCTAGTCCTAGGTAGTGTTTTTTTTTAATATCTGGGACTGAAAATCAATCCCTAATATGTAAAAGTATTAAAGACAGATTAACATCCCTGGTAGTATCAAATTCAGTCTTAAATGTGTTTTCTTTAAATACGTGATTTTATATAAAACTAGTCCCTGATAATAACTCTTGGGGACTAAAAATCAGTCTTAAATACTATATCATTCAGTCTTCAATACGCTTCATTGAAATCCTTACTTAGGTCATATCAGTCCCTGATAGTATCTATTTAAGACTGAATATTAGTCTCAAATATTATCATCTTCTGTCTCTAACCTGATTTTTATTGACTAAATATCAGTCTCATATACACTTTCATTTAGTCCATAACCTAATTTTTTATTTACCGAATGTCAGTCTCAGATACATTTTCATTCAGCCCCTAACCAAATTTTTCAGTAACTGAATGTTAGTCTTAGATAGAATTTCATTTACCCTAACCTGGATTTTTAGTGACTAAATATCAGTCTCAAATACAATACCATTTGCTCCCTAACCTGATTTTCCAGTGACCGAATATTAGTCTCAAATATAATGTCATTCGATCCCCAACCTGCTATAGTTTCAAACCAAAGTTTAGACTTAAACTAACATTTATAGTGACTAATATAAACAATGCGCTTGTTAATACACCAAATGAACTAGTACTAGATAAATAAACCGTAACTTAGACATCATATCCAAATTTAAAACAACAAACAAAAATATCAAAGAAACTAGTAAATAACTAAACCATACGTGAAAGAAGTTCCAAATTTTAATGGACGGTCATGAATGATACGCTTGATGTGATAGATATGTTATGTCATCGTACGCACGGGCTTCATCTTCATTGTGTGGATATAATATGTTTTCGGAATCCAGAAATTCGAGATAATAAACTGGAACATTTTTTCACATTTTTCCTCACTTTGTTTGACTTTCTGTTCGTTTATTCGAACCTCGTCCTCAAGTGCAACAATCTTACTTTTCATATCTTCTTCGTCTTTTGAGGCTTATTGAGATGTTTTTGCGGTTGATAAGAGATGTATATCTTTTTTCCTCATAACAGGTCCACTTGAAGCCTCCCATCCAGATAATAATGTTTTATGTTTGGCACAAACAATTTTAATGACTTTTTTTCTCTATGCCGTATTCCATTTCTTGAGTAATGCTTGTTCCCGCCGAAACTAATTTGGCGTATTCTTCCTCCTTGAGTTGGAGAATAGTTTCCTAATACAACATAAAAACATATTATAAAAACTTAGAAAACTAATATCAATATATTATAACTCAAAATCAATATTATTCAAGAAATCATTCTTACGTATTGAATGCGTGACTAATTATTTATCCATTCCTTTATAGGATGAAAATCCAACTTATGATATAATACGATTGGGTTGGGGGTATCTTAGTCTCTTTATTTGTCTGCAATAATAAAGATTTATATAAGTAAATGTAAAAATTAAATTTTCATGATTATATTAATTCAAATATGAATTAATTTGATAGTTCACCATTGCAAATTTGTGATTTGCTATCGATAGTGAGCCTCCTCTACTTGGAATAACAAGTTTTCCCCAATTATGTTTCATTTGTTTAGCATATTGCTACAAAATTTGAACTATACATGGTTAATAATATATAAATAAGCGTTGATTACATAAAAGGTGTGTATGTGCAAGATTGAGAGAATTTTGTTGCAGGTGTATAGTTTTGTGTAGTTGACAGCGCATGTTTTATAATACTACAATACATAGAATAATAATTCTAAGATGAAATTATAAGGTTTATAGAATTTAATAATTACCTTCGCTTTATCCGATTCCCAATAATCACACAAATAACCCCAATCTTCTTCGCTACGACAATCTGGCTTCATTTTAGATCTTGCTAATTGTGGATCTGTCATTCCTCCATTTTTCTTCCAATAATCTTTGAAAATATTTCGTGTGCATTTCCATTGCCTCCGCATTTGTTCATCTACATAATCCATCTGAACTTTATCTTCTTGCGGTAATTTAGATTTTTCCTACATTTAATACATAAATTAAAGCTGAACGTTTTTAATAAAATTTTAGTAATAAATTACTTGTATTTATGAAGTTTAAATTTTGAAAAAAAATGAATAGATTGAGGAAAATGATATATAACTTACACATAATTTGTTAATCATTTCTTCTTTATTTTCTTTTGCTACTTTCTCCCATGTATGGAATTCCATTTGACAAAAGCTCCGCATCACAATTCCAGCCTCCGTTGCAAAAGATATTGTTGAATCCCCAATGAATTTCTTTGTGTAGGTATCTCTTATCAATGTAATGCAAGCATCAGGTTGATTTTCCAAAATCTGTGAAGTCTTCTTATTAATATAAGGCCTCGCCTCCGCCTCTGTGTTTGAACTACACGATAGAAATGTTACATCATCTTATGCATAATTTGTAATATCATAAATAAAAGAATAAATTGTCTACTATTTACTTGGCACCACTTCCTCTGTGGCTAATGAAGCCCGTTGATTATTTTCTCTAGAACCACTCACTCTTGTTGTTTGTAGTCACATAAGAGTGTAAATGGATAAGCATAAGTGTAGTTAAAGAACGTGGATGGTCTACTAAACATGTATTACAAATACACAAAACATTGTTTGAGTGGTCAAACTAAGGGTGCACTAAAATATCAATGTTGTATAAAAAATAAAATAAAAATATTTCGGGGAATTAATTTACTTAATAGATTATCACAAGAAAGAAAGAAACACAGAAATCACAGCAGGCCAGATCTATAAAAACAAGATACAAAAGCAAAACAGTTGAAGAACAAAACAGGGAAAAAAAATTTCTAGGAAAATTTTCTTGTAGTCCAAGCTTTGTTGAGAAAAACATGAATAAAACTTAACTAAAACATCATAGATACATATCCTATTCATACTAAACCAAGAAATCCTAATCTAACACAAAGACTAAAAATAGGATGGTTTTTTCCAAAATACCCCTGGGTCAAACCTGTCCTAGATTTTGATTATTCCAACAGATGCAAAAGAAAACATAGCAGTGGCTTTTATAAAATAAAAATGAAAATGATATTGTAATCTATCTTCACTAAATTGTGTTAAGCATGGGTGTATATGCATGGTTTGATGATCTTTACCTGTAGTGCCCGATTTGGGAAAAGAATCTGTATTTTGGCAAACTACTGGTTAAGTTGTGTTAGAGACAGTTCCTTCACCAACATGCAACATTGATGTTGATTGAGGGTTTTTTCTTGGACCACTTCCTCCTGCAGAAATTAGGAAGTAATTTGTCGAACCCGAATAACCAGAAAATAGAATTACCCAACCAAATAACACCCATACATTGTGTAAGTTGTTTATAAGGTTGTAAAAGGTAGATTGTAAAAAATTTCAGATTTAAAGTTAAAAACACAAATCAGGTAAAAAACAAAAATCTAAAATCCATTACATTTCAAATTTTCTTTACCTCGTTTTAGTAAACAGTAAAAACATATAATCTATACCTGTTGCATCAACGGATGCCATAACTCGTTTACGTCGACGAAGCATACACAATTTTGGATTGAGTTCACCTTCACTTCCTTCACCTATTGATGTGACTGAAATTTGTTGAGGTTATTTCGTTACACGCTTAGTACCTCCGAGATTAACAATGGTCATCATTAGCAGAAATATCCACATTTTATCTGCAAAGGACGTTATTTATAGACAAGTTAGTCAAGAGTACAATTACTTATAATCATCGTCTAAAAGTTTTAAATATTAACAGATTAAAAACCAGCTAATGAAGTAGAATTATAGTACAATTATCCATAATCATAGTAAATAAGTTTTAAAAATGTAACAAATTACAAAACACACCGACAAAGTAGAAAAAGATTAGAATTATTAATATTCATTGTTTGACTCATCAAATAGGTCTACATTTGTTTCATTGCTATCATCTAAACCTTCTAAATCTTCAAGTAATTCCTCATTAATTTCTTTAGGGATAGTATCATAATCAATAAAATCATCTAAATCGTCTTCAAAAGCATCAACATCAACAATTTCCACAAACTCTTCTTCACCATCTTCTACATGAAACTCGAAATTTTCACAATCTGATGCTTGAAAGGGGGATGTGTCTGACGATGTTCCTACATGTTTGAACATATCTTGTACATCCTCATTATCTGGAAGATCCCATAAATGCCTATGTGTGCTTCTTTCAATGATTTTCCATCCCGAGTCACGTGTGGGATCATTTATATAGAAAACTTGTTTTGCTTGATTTGCCAACACAAAAGGATCTTCATCATAAGCTTTTTTGGTTGTATCTATAGATATGAAATGAGGTTCAAACATCATGTGCTTCCTTTTATGGTGGGTATCAAACCAAATGCATTTAAATAAAATAACTCGGTATCCTTTTATGAATGAAAATTCAAGGACATCGTCAACATATCCATAATAATCTTCTTCAACACCATTGTGAATTCCTACAACTGTGACTCCGCAATTTTGAGTTCTCCTATGATCATCTCGTGACTTAACAAGAAATTTAACTCCATTTACTATGTATCACCTATGTGATATAACACGATTATCTAGACCACGAGATAGTGCATATAACTCTTCGTTGATTGCCGATGAATTTTGCTCATACATTGTTCCTATCTGTTCACCATTTCCAAAAAAGTATGGGTAGGTTCATTGTTCAAACATGAGAAAATGATATAAAATATGTTATAGTAACATTACCCGTAATGAAAATCAAGAAGGAAATGTCGATTGTTGTAATTCACCAAAATCTAGGTATCCTTGATGTTGTTTTTTCAAAAAATTCAAGTGCTCACTATCAAGTGTAAGTAAGATTTAAATACCTTGAGATACAAAAAAGTCAATTCACTATGAAAGAGAAAATGTACTTACTTCAGGTACGGTTCAACTTGTGAACAATTAGCTAAGATAAACCAATGTGCTTTCTTTATTGAAATATTTGAAAGCCTAACAGTTTCTTGCTTCCCAATTCCTCGACCATTTAATCTGAAAATATCTAATTTATAGTCTCGATCGTCACTGGTAGTTTCATCGTCATATCTACCTCGCTTATCTAATCTCGAATCAATAGCACGCAAATAGTGTGAACAATATATCAAGGCTTCTTCATCAACATAACCTTCTACAATTGAACCTCCGGGTCTTGCTTTGTTTCTAACATATTTCTTTTAATATCCAAGATACCTTTCAATGGGATACATCCACCTTGATTGTACAGGTCCTCCTAAAATAGCCTCTTGAGGTAGATGAACGCACAAGTGCATCAAAACTGTAAAAAATGAGGGAGGAAATATGCGTTCAAGCTTGCAAAGAATCTTAACTATCTCTTCTTGCAAAGTTTCCAAGTCTCTAACATGTAATGTGGCTGAAGTTAGAATCTTGAAAAATTGAGACAACTCTTTCAATGTATCACATATATGTTTATCCAAAAGCCCACGAATAACAAAAGGGAGTATACGTAACATGAAGACATGATAATCATGTGATTTAAGTCCATATAGCTTACTTTGCTCGAGAATAACATTTTTACCCAAGTTTGTGGCATATCCATCAGGAAAACACATAGACTTAACTAGAGAGCAAAAACGTTTCCTCTCTAATGGTGTTAAGACATATGGAGCAGGGGGTTTAATCCAATGATCATTTTTCTTCACCAAGTGAAGATTCTTGCATATTTTCATATCTTGAAGATCTCGGCGAGCTAGGTCAGTGTCTTTTGTCCTCTTTTCTATGTTTAATAAAGTTCCCAAGAAGTTTTCACCCACAATTTTTATAACATGTATGACATCAATGTTATGACACATTAACAACTTACACCAATATGGTAGTTCAAAGAATATGCTTTTTTTTTACCAATTTAACTCGCGTTCGCTCCTTCAACGTTTTTGGCCGATGTGAGACTTCTTTTTCCATGTGGAAAGCGAGGGACATTTTCTAATTGGCGCAAGCAATCTTGTCCACTGATATGTTTGGATGCAATCCTAGACTCTTTTTCCCCATTAAAATCTCGTGCATTCCTCCAAGGATGATCAGGGGGAAGAAATCGCCTATGACCTACGTATGCTATTTTCTTTCTTATACGAATACTAGATGCATCTTCGTTGCATGTTGGGCAAGCCATGTATCCACTTGTGCTCCATCTAGACAAGTAACCATACGCAGGAAAATCATTTATTGTCCACATTAGTGCTACACGCATGTTGAATGTACGTCCTGATTCAAAATCATATGTTTCAATACCCTTTTCCCATAGAACTTTCAACTAATCTCCAGTGGACGTAAATATACATCAATATCCTTTCCTGATGAATCTTTCCCAGGAATCAACAAAGCCATCATAAATGAAACATTAATCATTGACTTCCAAGGAGGCAGATTGTACAATATAAGCACAACAGGCCACATACTATATGAAGTACTCATCGTCCCAAAAGGGTTGAAACCATCGCTTGCAATACCTAGGCGTACATTTCTTGGTTCTTTGGCAAAATCAGGGTAGATTGTATCAAAGTGCTTCCATGCTTTTCCGTCTGCTGGATATCTAAGAACTCCATCTTCTTTAGACTTGCTGTAAGCGTGCCACTGCATGTCCTTTGCAGTATACCTAGAGGCATATAGTCGCTTAAGTCTACTTCTGATGGGAAACTAATGCAAGACTTTGGTTGGTATCTTCTTTTTATGAATTCTATCGTCTACCCAACGACTAGTACCACAAACAGGACATGATTGTAATTCCGAATTTTCCTTCCAAAATAATGCACGATCATTCTTACAAGCATGTATTGATTCGTATCCAATTCCAAGAGTACGCAAATACTTTTTTTCCTCGTAATGGGTTTTATGGATTACTATGTCCTTGAATGCCTCACTCAATAACTTTAGCATCATATCCATGGACACATTTGTCATTTTACATGTTACGTTCACATGCATCAATCGTAATATAAATACTAGTACAGAGAAAGTTTCACATCCTAGAAATAAAGGTTTCTCCATATCAACGAATAACTTGTCTACATTTGGATTACTAGACCGATTATAAGACTCGTCCTCATCGTTGTCACCTACTCCCTTAGTTTTAGCTCCCACATGAAATGCATCACCAAGTAAAGCATCGAAACCATCATTTGTTTCATATGAAGGTAACATCCTATATACCCCATGTGTACCCCGACCCCCACCCCTACCAAACTAATGAAAGCATGTTGCTATTCACCCTCCTCTCTGCAATGTATGGGCTCCAACTAGAAAACTATTCACCAAAACGAATAGTATCATACCATCCCTTGCTATGGGTAGTAAAATTTGTGACTGATTCATCAGTCTTCAATATATCATATATCTGATTAAGTAACATGTCTCAAAGACTAAATTTCACTCCATAAGGATTTTCCCTCCAAAGTCAAAAATATGTATTTTATCCTTGACAAAACCTCAGTCCCTAATAAGTTTCCTTCCAAATACTATATGTGGTTGATTCATCAGTCTCTGATATATGGCATCTATGACTAACTACTCAGTCTTAGATACTAAAATACAATTAGTTATAAGTGTTCATTTGAATGTTAAATAGTATAATTCTGTTAGGGATTGAAATTTAGTCTTTAGTGAGTTTCTCATTCAAAGGAACAATCAATACACTTGTCTATTAGGGAATAAAATTCAGTCCCAAATAACTTTCATCCAAAGTCAAAATTGGTGATAGAATATTCGAGACTAAACTTTAGTCTGCAATGTGTTTCCCACCAAACCTAAACCAGCGTAAAAGTTTTCATCTGAATGTCAAATAATACAAGTCCATTAAGGATTGTGTAACACCGAAATTTTTTTAAAAAAAATTCATTTAAAAATCGTTTATCTCTTTAACACTTTTCATAAAAATCTCCCTTTTTGATTAATTTATAATACATGACTCTTTTGTTCAATCAATTAATAGATCAGGACCCTTAAAACCAACGTTTCTTCTGGTATGTATAATCGAGCCGGTGCTGTCCCGTGATCCTGAGAAAAACCTGAAACATATAACACAAAACACTATAAGCACGAAGCTTAGCGAGTTCCCTAAAATACCACACATAACACATACTAGCCACTCGAGGCTATAACTCTGTGGGCCCTTGGGCCCTAACTCTATGGACTCTCTGTTCCTAGCTCTATGAACCTTCTGGTTCTAACTATGATATACTCTGATATACGCACGACATAAATCACATAGAAATAATGCAGTGCAACACATCACATAAATAGCATACAATAACTCTGTCACATAACTCTAATTACCACTCAAGGTAATGTATAGTGAGAAGACTCACCTAAAACGAAGTCGAATGAACTCTCGTGCTCGACATCCCAACCTGGCCTTCTCCTATTATTCAAATAACATCCCCGATCAACATTCTCTCATTGTCTCAACTCTAAAGATTGGGTAGAAGACCATTCTACCCTTCCCTGAACTCTCTTAAGTCCGTCTTGACCAAAACCCTATAGTCAACAAAAGTCAACAGTCAAACTTTGACCCGACTCGTCGAGTGCACATGGGCGACTCGGCGAGTCGACACGTGTCCACTGAATCCTCCTTCTATCCTCGCTTGACACATCAAGCCAACCCCTAGCTCGACGAGTTACACCTGGTATGAACTGCGGAGCAACCCTGACTCGACTCGTCGAGTCCTCTCATGAACTCGATGAGTTGCTCCCATGACAACACTCATCTGACCTTCTAAGGTCAGATCCGTTCCTCTAGTCCATAGATCTGACTTCCCTACGACCAATAATCATGAAAAGGTCGAATCTTGGTACACATGCAAGGCTCTCTATGCTTATTTTGGTGAAATCCTTCATATCATGACAACCCTAGCTCATAACTCCAAGGATAAGGCATAAAGCAGAATGGAAGGGACTCTCTAGACCTCTTAAGGTCCAGATCTAATAATCATTTCACCATGGGACCTCTCATACTCTAGATTCAAGCTAAATAAAGCATGAATATTCATGAAATCAAACGAAGATGTACATGAATCCTTACCTTTCATAGCAGTTCTGAACGAAATGATGGAAGATTTGAGTCCCACAAGACAGCCCAACTCGAAATCTTCCTTCCCTTTGCTAAGACACTCCAAAGAATGATGAATTAGCCCTCCTCTTGCACCACAAGCTTCCTCTCTGCTCTCTATGGTTTCTCAGGGTGTTGTGGCCACAAATGAAGGCCATAAGGACCTTGAAATAGGTCCGAAACCCGAGAAATTAGGGTTTCTCTAGCCAGCACCTACTTGTCGAGTCCACTCATTAAATCCGCATGAAAAACCCGA